TACACTTATATGTACCTCCCCTTAGTGCGTGGTAGAGTACTAACACTTTTTGATCATTGTCACTTCCATTTGTTTTATTCCCATGTGATCGTGTCATAGCAGTATATAAAGATATTTCACACTTTTTTGAATAGCTCTGTAGTATCCCAATGTGCAAATGGATCCTCGTTCATTAAACCATTCTGTAACGGATGAGCATTAAACTTGGTTCCCCCATTTTTGCAATTACAAATAAGGCTTATTGAATAACCTTGCATTGTATATGGCTTTTTATATCTTGCCATGTAGACTTGATATGTAGACATGGGATTTTTTTCAAGTTTGTCTTAGCCTATGATGTGTTTGTTAATGCAAAAATTTTATTTTAGGGCCCAGAGAGTGTTAACTACCTGTGGCCAACCCTACTTTGATCCCCGGCATCCCATATGGCCAATTCTAGGCACCACACAATATATTTTTCACCTTAATAAAAGGATTTCTACATTGACAAGTAAATGTACTTGAAATTTTGCTATACAGTGTATACACTGTCAGTTTTCCCTTCCCATGGATTGTATCATTACGCATTCCCACCTGTAAAATGAGTACCAGTCTCCTTACTACCTTGCCATACATCACATTGTCAAAGTTTGAGAAAGTTACTAATTTTATAGTTTAAAAAACAGCATTTGAGACCTGGGAGATAACTCAAAAGACTGGAGAATGTTTAGCACGTGGGAGCCATGGACTCAATACCTGGCACTAAATGATGCCTTCTGGCGCAGCAGGGAGGATCCTGGTCTCCTTGCTCGGAGTAAGTGATGGGTGTCAAACAAAAGACAACAGTGTCTATCTACAGAAGATGCTTTATTATACATGTTGTAATATATTTAATATTACTTAAGTGCCCTTTGTTTTAAATTCTTTAGAGCAGACTATGTGTTTATCCTTGCCTCTCTTCCATGGGATGGTTTTCCTTTTCTTTCTTTAAGCCTTTATAAAGATACTTACAGTAATATGTTGGAACCGACTGTCAGGAGCTTACAAGCACCGGTCGCTAACTTTTCATGACTCTTGTGAGTCAGTTGATAACACATTGGTACAGTTGATGTCATCTTGGCATATTAAAATCTGCTATTGTGTGAGTAGTTACACTATGGGAACTGGCAAATGTTTATGGATGAGGCTCCTCCTCCCAGCAAGTCACACTGATCCTTTGTCTGCAGCGTAGGTTAGAAGTATTTTTCCAAGTTCGTAATTTGTCTTTGCTTATGATGTGTTTGTTAATGCAAAAATTTTATTTTAGGGCCCAGAGAGATAGTGCAGTGTTAAATACATGTGGCCAACCCACTTTGATCCCTGACATCCCATATGGCCAATTCTAGGCACCACCACACACACACACACACACACACACACACACACACACTTGTTTTATATAATCCAAATTTATTTATTGCCTCTGAATTTGTTTGTTTGTTTGTTTGTTTGGGGGTCACACCCAGCAGTGCTCTGGGCTTCTTCACATTCTGACTTCTTCAAGATTCCTAGAGGGTGAGCTTCACACACTTCTTAAATCTCTCATCACTCTGTTTTTAAACTTGAAGCATAATTGACATACAACATATTAATCTCAGGTGCACAGTATCATGGTTTGACATCTGTACTTGTGAAATGATCACAGCAAGTCTATTTCTACGGAATCTTAGCAATTTTTGAAATTTGCAACATTATCATTGTAAATCCATATTGTACACTATATTCCCATAGCTTACTTTACAATTGGAAATTTATACATCTTGAACACAGTCATCCTTTTCACTCACCCCAACCCCAGTCCCCTTGGCTATCTTTTATCAGTGAGCTTTGTCTTGCTTTGAGTCACATATAAATGAAATCTTGTTTACACTTCACCATGTATTAAATTTAACTTTTTTTTTTTGAGGGAAAGAGACACAGCTGTGCTCAGGGCTTACTCCTGCCTCTGTGCTCAGGGATAACTCCTGGCAGGGTTCAGGAGATCAGCTGGGGAGCCAGGGATAGAACGGGGATCAGCAGCGCGCAAAGCAAGCACCCCCATCTGCTGTTACTATTGCTCCAGCCCTAGACTCTGAGTCTTTACCACTGGAGCAAGTTGGATTCCTAGTATAGAACTAACCATACAAATTCCTGTGTATGGTGAAATGACTGTGTTAGACCTGGTTGCCAGGAGATTTCCCCGTTTGGCAGTTCCTTAGTCATCAGTAATCAACAAACTTTAGCAAAGCTACAGTTGGTGGTGTTTTTTTTTGTTTGTTTGTTTGTTTTTAATGTGATCACAACACTTTTTGTTTCCAAAAGCAGGTTGCTTTCTCAGCTGTTTGTTTATCTAAACAATATTTTAAAAGCCACATTTCCCTTAAATTTTTCTTTCAGTTCTGTAGCCAAAACCTCAAGTGTCCTAGTTTTGGAGATTAGAAGTACTTCCTCCACACCTTCGGGTTTTCTAGTATTTCGTAACTCATACTTGTCCAGACTTTTTCATTCTTTTGATACTTTTGCTTCTTAGATTTTTTAATCCTTTCATTTGAGTTTTGCTTTATTTCACCCTTTGTTGTTGTTGTTGTTGCTTTCTTTGGGTTATTTTTAAGGACCTTTTCTAACTACATGAATGAAATGTGTAATTTTTTTCCACTTAAGTCATGGATACGTAGGAGCTATTAAGTGTACTTCTAAGTATTGTGCTATTCTCTTCCATCCTCCCAGCTCAGATTCACCAGAGAGCAATGATGTTTTCCTGCACCATTCATCTCCGAAATAGTTTCTGTCTTTGAAATCCAAAACAATTTGGAAGCACTCACTTAGGGATCTCTGAGGAATATGACGAGCATTGTGTTCATTTTTACAGAGCTTCTTTCTGCAGTAGTTTAATGCTCTAGCACAAAGAAATGATAATAAATGATAGCCTTTATTGAACTCATACTCTGTAATTGGCATTGTATTTTATACCTACTCATATTATCTTTCAAGACCATTTTACAGATGAAACGGGTATTCAAATGTTTGGCTTGTTTCTAGTCCTTGAACATGCCAAGCCCTCCATTTTAGAATCTTTCCCCCTTACTTGGGCATTTCTCCCTCCATCTCCTCACTCATGCTCAGTGCAAATCACGCTTCTTTCTTTCTTTTTTTTTTTTAATTTTATTGAATCACTGTGCAATATAATTACAAGCTTTCATGCTTGAGTTACAATCACACAATGATCAAACACCCATCCCTCCACCAGGCACATTCCCCACCACCAATCTCCTCAGGATAGCCCCCCTTTACCACTCTCCCCCTGCCTCCATGGCAGACAATATTCCCACACTCTCTCTCTACTTTGGGGCATTATGGTTTGCAATGCAGATAATGAGAGATTATCATACTTACTCCTTTATCTACTTCCGGCACACATCTCTCATCTAGACCAATTCCTCCAACCCTCATTTCCTTCGTGATCCCTTCTCTATTTCAGCTGCCTTTCCCCCACCGCCACCCCCAACCCCCCAATATGAGGCAGGCTTCCAACTACAGAGTAATCTTCTTGACCCTTGTATCTACTGTCCTTGGGTGTCGGTCTTGTCTTATGTTACTTTATACTCCAAAAATGAGTGCAGTCCTTCTCTATCTATCCCTCTCTTTCTGACTCATTTCACTTAGCATGACTGTCTATCCACTTATAAGCAAGTTTCATGACTTCATCTCTCCTAACAGCTGCAAATCACATTTCTTCAAAGTAAGCAATGCCTCTATCTGAAACACAGCCTCCCTCCATATCTTCACACGTTTAATTTTGCTCATAGCACTATCCCAAAAGTTTTTTTTCATAACTTATTTTCTTGTTGTACTTTATCTCTTCCCTTAGACTTTAAGTCCAAGAAACAAATTTTGTCTTCTTGGATTATAAAACAGATTCCCAAGTAGTGGAGGGAAGAAATGGAAAGGAATGGAAATGACAGGACTTGACACAGGACAGGGGCGGACAATTTGGTGGTGGTGAAAGTGCAGATACTATGTACATCAAACTGAAACCACGGACACTATGTAACCATATAATCCACACTAATTGAAAAAAAAATTGTTCACCACGTTTTCCCCAGGAGTCCCATTAGGTAAATTCTTTGCACAGAACAGGCTGTGAGTCCGTGCTTAATAGAATTAGGGTCTTTCTGAAGGCAACTGAGGGAACTTTGAGGAGATGCCAGAACTTTCACACAAAACAGCTACTCCGAAGCGTAACTTCGTGGGCCGGGACAGGGGGGCGGAGGGTGCAGCGAGACCCCCCTCGAGGAGAGGTAAGACTGGAAGCATCTCAGGGAACTTTGGGAGCGGTCGTCTCCCACTGCGACGAGAGGGAGGAGAGAAGGCAGAGAAGGGGAGGACAGAGCCGGCGGGAGTGTGGGGAAGCGGAGGGGCTTTGGGGACCCGGGGGAGGCTCCAGCTAAGAGTGGAGCAGGCGGGTCGGTGCGGGCAATCGCGGGACTTGCTCTCCGGCCTGGAGCGGGCCGCGGGAAGGGGTCACTTCTGCCGGGCTGGACAAGGCCTGGCGGGGGCGCGGAGGCCAGGGGTGGCCAGCGGGAGCTCCAGGGTGGGAAACTGCGTTTGTTCCCGGCGGTCTGGGGCCGAGGCGGGGCCGCCGGGGGTGGCCAGGCGTGCCGAGCGCCGGGCGCGGTGCATGCACCCAGCTGGGGCAGGAGCGGGCAGAGACGGAGGGAGTCGTGCAGGGCGGCCGAGGAGAGCGGGGGGCGTCCTCGGGGGGCGCGGGGGATGCTGGCCCGCGGCCCAGGCGCGCGCGGGGCTGGCCGCGGCTGCGCGGGCGCCGGGTGGCCGAGGGCGCGCGGGCGGCGGACGGGCCGGGCGGGCGGGCGGGCGGGCGGCGCGGGCAGGGCCGGGCCGGGCCCAGGTCGCCGAGGGGCGGCGCCGCGGGCAGCCGGGCGCGGGCGGGGCGGGCGCGGGGACCGTCGCCGACTTCCGGGAGCGCCCGGGCGCGCGCGCGCGGGTGTCAGTGCGTGTCCGTGCGTCTGTGTGTGTGCGCGCGTGTGTCGCGCTGCCGCCGGGCCACCGCGAGGCCGCCGAGCGCGGGGTGCCCAGGCCCGAGCCCCCGGTGCCCGCAGCGGCGATGGGGGCGCCGGCGCGGCTGCTGCGCGCCGTGATCATGGGGGCGCCCGGCTCGGGCAAGGGCACCGTGTCGTCGCGCATCACCCAGCACTTCGCGCTGAAGCACCTCTCCAGCGGGGACCTGCTGCGGGACAACATGCTGCGGGGCACAGGTGGGAGCCGGGGGTCGCCCTCCCTCCTCCTCTCCCCTCCCCGGGGCGGCCGGCGCGGGACGCGGGCCCGGGGTGCGGCGCAGCATCCCCCAACCGCCGCCCGGACTCCCGAGCGGCTGCGCCCCGCGACCTTCGGCCTCCGCGGGCCGCGGCGGGCGGGAGGACCCGGGGAGAGGCCGGGGTCGGGGCCAGGTTCGAAGTTCAGAGATCCAAGGCCGCTCCGGCTTCGGGGGGCGAGTTCCGCCCCCCGGGAGCGCTGCCCGAGGGTCCATCCAGCCGCGACTTCCCCGCCTGCCCTTTCCCCTGGAACGCTGACGTTGGACCTGCCAAGGCGTGCTCGATCTTTCTTTTTTTTTCATTTTTTTCCCTTTTTTTTTGGTGGTGGTGGTGGGGGTGCTGTTTAAACTCTGATTTTTTTTTTCTGGCTCTGACCTTTCCCCCCCATACTCAGAAAGCCCAATATGCAGCTAGAAAATTTTGGCTTAGATCTTTGCTCCCCCCCCCCCCCCCCCGAGATTGCTTAAAACATGAAAGCAATTCTTGTGCATGGTCATCTGAAAGATTGTTTTGTTTCTCAGTCCTAAAAAAAAATTTCTACGGACTCAGCACAAAAGCTAGTGAACAAACCTCACTTTCTAGCGAGGGAAGTTTGTGTTAAGCAAATTATATGTTAAGCGAGATCTATGTTTTTTGAAAGTCAACGGGACAAAATGATTTCTAACCTCAGAAGTGTTGTTCACCTCTCGTTTCTAAAGACAACCCATTCTGAAGCTTCTTTTGAAAATTATAAAAGTGATGCTTGCCCAGGAGTAAAAAATTAGATGGAGACAAGACAAGAGAAAAGTACAGAAAATGACAACCACTATCTCTCCACTTCAGTCTCATTCTGCAAAGGGAACAGTGTCTTGTGTTTCCCTTTGAAGGGAGTATTTATATGCAAATGTCTGCATATTCCTAATATTATATAAAGGAATTTCATACTATGTCTTTTGTGCTTATGCATTTTCACTTTATGTCACATATATCTTTATATGTGTGTATAATCATGATTTGTCACATGAAAATATGGAAATTCCCGTTCACTCTCTTAAGATTTGTATGATTATCTATTTGCTGAATCTACTCTTATTTACTTAAGCAACCCCTGTTGATGGAAATGAAGGTTTGTTTGTTTGTTTTTTAACAGGGGGTGTTGAATTAAAGGCCTGTCCTCTATCACTAAGCTACATCTCCTGCTGGACTGGGAGGTTATTTCTGGGTGGGTTTTGGTTGTAACTGTTCATTACAGTTAACATTTAAATGGAAGGAAGAATCAATCACTTCAGTGTTTTTGTCTCTTGGAGTTATTTGATTCAGCACTTAGTCTTGGGAGTTACTACTTTTAATTTTTCCTTTCTAAATTTGATCTTTAAAAAAATCATAAAAATATTTTAAAGGCAAAGTTTTCCAAAGAGTTAAATGGCTGGACTATTTTGTTCTTGACACAACATATTGAAGTAGTTAGGTGACAATAAAAAGTCAGTAATCCTGCGTCCTGTTGAGGTAAGGTTTTCCAAAGTGGAATGGAGTAAAGAATTTTTATGGAAATTTTATCTAAAAAAAAAAAAAAGAAAGGTTTTATTTTTTGCTTAGTAGACAGCTTCAGCATAGAGCTAAGGATACATTAATTTGAGAAAGCAGATTAAGACCGAAATATAAAGCTAATTAAGGAAGCTTTAAAAGTAGGAAACAAAGTTCTTTGTTTATTCTGCTTTTGTTTTGTGTGGGGTCACCCCCAGCTGTGCTCAGGGCTTACAGCTGGCTCTGTGCTCAGGGCTTTTAAGTGGTGACAGAAATGCTAGGCAAGCACCTTAAGCCCGAATTATATTTATTTATTTTTCCCTCTGCGGTTCGTTCTGAGATAATCAGGGGTCATGCACTTGGTCGGTTGTGTGGCCTGCAGATCCCAACCAGCTGAGCATTTTGTTCAGGAACTGTGCTGATGAATTTTGTTTTGTTTTGGTTTTTGAGGGGAGGCACATCCAGCAGTGCTCAGGGCTTAGTCCCTGCTAAGTGTCCGGTGCCGAGGGATCACTCCTGGCCGTGCTCAGGAGACCATATATGGTACCTGGGATCAAGTCCACACCCACCACATGCAAGCCAAGTGCCTCTTCCTACTGTACTGTCTCTTGGGCCACGGTGCTTCTCCTAATGTGCTCTTCCCCTCATTCCTCTTTTCCTTTTTGCTTTTAAATGTCGTTGCAGAATTGTTCTGTTCTAAATGACTTCCTGTACACCTTTCCCCCACTTTTGTGGGCACGTTCACACATTGTGAAATAGTCTTAAAATTGGTATTTAATTTCATCTGGTTTAAAAGCTTTTCTATTTTTGGTCATCCACGTTCTTCATTATTCTTCAGTGTAATAAGTACCGTTGGGATTATACATTTATATCTGGCATCATCTGAACACTTCAAGTAAATTGTGTAGTGTGGAATTTCTATAAATAAAGTACATTCCGGTCTACTCCCCAGCTATCATTTCATGAGGCTGTTATGTTTTATAACCCATGATTACTTAATAGCTAAGGTATTAAGTAATACATCATCTGTATTAACATCATCTGATGTCACAAGGAAATACAGCAGGTGAACAGTCATGAATCCTGAGGAACGACAGACCACCCTGCTCACGAGAATCACTCTTTGTCATCCTCCTCGTTTTATTTTTCTATCAAGATTTTTTTAAAGAAAAGTTTTATTATATAACAATGCTAAAAGCAATCTTGGCGGGCCCTCGGCTAATTCTCTACAACCCTTTCTCTTGGCATATATATATATATATGGGAACTGTTATTTCCAGACTGCTCAGACCTTTTGTACTTGATAGTTGCCTAAACAAATTTCCAGCTCATTCAAAATGAAGGTGTGGCTGATGTGGGTCATGAATAGACTTTTTTTTTTCTTTTTGGGTCACACCCAGCGATGCACAGAGGTTACTCCTGGCTCTGCACTCAGAAATCACCCTTGGTAGTGCTCAGGGGGCCATATGGGATGCTGGGAATTGAACCCGGGTTGGCCACGTGCAAGGCAAACGCTTTCCCTGCTGTGCTATTGCTCCAGCCCCTGAAGAGACTTTTAAAGGAGATTCTATTTGCTTTTTGGGTCACACCCGGCAATGCACAGGGGCCACTCCTGGCTCTGTGTCCAGGAATTACTCCTGGCGGTGCTCAGGGGACCACATGGGATGCTGGGGATCGAACCCGGGTCGGGCATGTGCAAGGTAGATGCCCTACCTGCTGTGCTATCACTCTAGCCCCTTAAAGGAGATTTTAAAGGAGAATTGAAATGGGGCCTTGAGAGCATGCCTTGCACGCTGAGTCCCTGTGTTCAGTCTCTGGCACCACATGCCTCCTGCATTCCCTTTCCTTCCCCTTTAGGCACCTCTAGGAGTGACCCTCAGTACCCTGGACCTGAGTAGCACTGCACCATCAGGCCTACACATTGAATGGTCAGACTTGCACAGAATAGACTACCTGTATGCCCTGAGAATTACTTGGGAGTACTACCCCCCACCCCCAACCAACACACACACAACATAGTTTTAGTAGAATTATAAATGATTTTTACTGTAATACAATTTCATTGCTCAGGTTAGTGTATTTCATCTTTTAGAATTCTGGTTATTGTCCTTAAAATTAAAGTTGGTTTTAACCTTTCCTGTTTCCCTTTAAATTTTCTTTTCTGTTTTTGTAACTGTAAAAAGCTTTTAAAAAATAGTTTATTAGCCAGCAGGTCAATCTAATCTGTACTACCTGTGTATCAGCAGCCTGATGGCACTTTCAGACTTCCAGATATCCCAAAATTGCTGCTGTGCGTTTGGCCAGACCCCAACAACTTGGGGCAAAGTTTGCCAAGAAAGTAAACGGCCAAAAGTTAGATATGAGGGAGACACACCCACGAATCACCTCTGGCTCAGCTATATAATTGGAGGCAAGGCCTCTCTAGTTCCTAATCGAACTGCTCAACGGCCATGATCCCAGAGACTCAGAGACAAATCTCAGAACCAGGCGGCTTTTGCCAGAGAAGTGTCCTGTCCCCGCAGTGGGTTAACTGGCACCGAGCCACCCCAGGGGGGAAAGGTTGTTGGCCCTCTGCCTGCTCTCTCTTAGCAGCTTGGTGTCTGCCATCTTCCAGAGGCCATTGGACAGTCAGGATTGGACCCGCAGTGATGAGACACGCCAGGCCTCACGGGATGGGGGTGGAGCCAGCCCTTTCCTCCCCAACCCAACGAGACCCCGAGTCACCACCCACAAAAGGCCTGTCTGGCTCCTGATCAAGCTGCTTAATGGCCATGATCCCAGAGACTCAGGAACAAATCTCGGAACCCAGTGGCTTTTGGCGGAAATGCGTCTGGTCCCTGTAGCGTGTTATCAGAGCTGGGCCACTCCGGGTGGGAATAGGTTTTCATGCCTTGGCCTACATCCCCTGGCAGCTCAGTGGCAGCCATCCTCCAGAGGCCACTGGACGGTCAGGTTTGGGCCCACAGTGACGAGACATGCGGGGCCTCATGGATGGGGGTGGAGCTGGCCCTTTCCTCCCCACCCCAACAAGACCCCGAGTTGCCGCCCACGAATGGCCTCTCTGGCTCCTGATCAAGCTGCTTAATGCCCATGATCCAAGAGACTCAGGAACAAATCTCGGAACCCAGCAGATTTTGGCAGAAATTCCTTCACATTTAATTGTTAAAATTTCAGAATTCCAAAATTGCTCAGCCACTACTGCGGCCACACGACATCATATGTTATTCATAACCAGCAATAGAAAACAAATTGTCTACCGTTGCTTTTCTGGCAGATCTGAGTGTTGGGTCTGGTGTTGAAATATTGAATGTAATCAAAGTAGAGAGAGAGTAACGTAGAAATCATCTGCCCCACAGGTAGGGGGAGGGTGTGGGATGGGGGTATACTGGGATTTTGGGGGGCGGAGAATGGGCACTGGTGAAGGTACGGGTGTTTCATTG